GAAAATGTGATGAAGGAAAAAAAATAGCTAAATCATCAATAAGAATTTCCCAGAGTTGAGGAATACAGGCACCGAGACCCATAGGTCTCATGGGTCCCAGTGAAAACAGACTCACCTCGGAAAATCCCAAGACACATTACATGCAAAATCCAAAGATAGAGACAGACTATTGAAAGGAGCGAGATCGAAAAAGGAACTTTTTTTTTTTATACAACGGAGATCCCATAAGACGTACAGCAGATCTAGCAAATGAGATTCTATGGGTCAGAAGAGAATGGAAGGATGCAGTACAAAAAGCTCAATGAAATGAACACCTCCCCAAGAATATGCTATCTAGAAAGATTATCGTTCAGATCTGAAGGAACAATACGGAGCTTCACAGACCAGCAACAATTTAAGGAATTCGTGGCTTTGAAATCAGTTTTGCAGAAGAGTTAAAAGAGCTTCTCTGAAGGTCAGGACAAACTGTCCGACATGTGGCATTGAGTGTGGCACTCACGAACGCATATGGTTTCCCCTCTACCAGACTGAGACAGAGATGTTTACTCCTTGCGGGGATTTTATACATTTTTTCAATAATGAATTAACATCTTATTTATATTGGTTAAAATCCCTTAAGCAATCGATCATCACAAATTGACTTTTATTAATTCATTTTCGGAGAATCCCCATTTGTCATTCCCGTAAGGGTTGTCGGAGCAAGTCATATGAAATAAATCTGTTATTTGTCTGCCAAAGGGGCAGGCCAGGGGGTGGGGGCGGGGGGGGGGGGGGAGCCTGGGGACATTGGTGGAGGGAGGATGACACCGGTGATGGGACTGGTGTTGGAACACTGCCTGCCTGAAACGTCGCTGTAACAGACAAGTTGGCACATCATGGCGTCTTCATGAAAATCCAAACCAGATGAATTGCCTAAGACCCACTCTATACCAATGGGGGCAGGGAGCAGTCAAGGACGAGACCCTACCTCAGGGAAGTCAAATTCCACCGACAGGCAGAATAATAGGTGTACAGAGAGTTGCACGGCATTGCGGAGGATGATTTTCCAAGAACTGTCTACTTCAAATGCTCTGGTGATTTATGCCTGCTGGCATTTGGGGAAATATCTGAGCTTCTAGGTCTCCGGCCCTTTCTTCTCTGCAGGCGGGCTCAGGGAGGGGAGGACCCTAAACTGCTCTCTCTTTTGCTAATGCGCAGCATGGAACCGACTGATTGTCAAAACAAGTTTTCATCTTGAAAGCACGGGGATCTTCTAGGCCAATGTTAAAAACAACTTCTAAAATACGTTTTAGAAATGGAAAAAAAGAAAAGACCCAGATATCACGGTTCTTTCAGATGCCGGTATAAGACGTTCCTATCTCTGTTTTCAGGAAGATGGAACAATCCAACAGAAATGAGATGTATATTAAAAGTACAGCTGCAGCTCCTAAGAATGAAAATCCCAAATAACATCAATTAGGATAATTGGTTAAAAAGGGTTATTAGAGGCAATTACTTTACAGAAGTACTAAAGAAGCACTTTCCGGAGCAGGTCTAATTTATTTTCACGATTCTCTTGTCAGGTAGGCATCATTAACATCACTTGATAGGTGAGGAAACGAAAACTTGGGTGGTAAAATCATTTATTCAAAATACAATTACAGCAATAAGGTCTTTTCTTCCTTGCTTCCTTTCTCTCTCTCTCTCTCTCTCTCTCTCTCTCTCTCTCTCTCTCTCTCTCTCTCTCTCTCTCTCTCTTTTTTGCCTTTGGGTGACAAATAGTAGTGCTCAGGGCTTAATCCCGGCTCCGTGCTCAAGACTCACTCCCGGAGGGTCCTGGGGACCATATATGGTGCCAGGGATTGAACCAAGGTCAGCCAGGTGCACCAGGTGCAAGGCTGACCTTACCCGCTATGCTACTGCCCTGGCCCCAAGAAAACATCATTTCTGACGCTGTATCCTATTTATTGTACTTCTCCAATAAGCTGGCAAATCCTGTACATTCCACTATCCCAATTCTCAGTTCATTTCCTCCTCTACATCTTGAAACCAGAACTTCACCATGAACCCTAAATAGAAGACTCTTTCCTACCAGACCTCTTGCCTCTCCTCTGGTTCAGTTTATAAAAAAAAAGTTTTGTGGGGGGAGTCATACACTGCAGGGCTTGTGCCCGGCTCTGTGCTCAAGGATCACATCTGGTGAGACTTGGGGGGTGTCCATATGGGGTGTCAGGGATTTAACTGCAGGCAAGGCAAGTGCCCGACCTGCTGTACTATCTCTCCAGCCCCTAAAAAATGCCTATACAGTATTTTTGTGCATGAGATGCCGGAGTGGACGGAGCTCAGGACGTCACTCAGGCGAGGAGAACCCTTTCCCACGGAGCCAGGGCCCTGGCCCATCTCATTTTCATGCTTTTCCATCCTTCTTGTTTACATGACAGACGAGCTTTTCCGAAAGGGAGCACAATTTGCTCACTTCTATTTTTCTGCTCAAAAACCGTGAGCGAAGCCATTTTCTCTGCCAGGCAGACAAACGTTTCTCCCCAATCTGTACTCCTGCAACCTTTCTCCCACCTTAAGCTAGTCTCCACCCAACACCCAATGCTTTAGTCAAAGGGAAACCCGTGTTTTATCCAAAGACGTTCTGATCATGCCCTTCTCTCCAACTTTGAGAACTGACTGTGAGTTCTTCCTGTTACCTTCTCTGCATGTTTGAAATCTGCAACCCTCTCAGTGACATTCGGCTGCTTACCTAAGAATGGTTTAGGTTAAGCCGTCCTTTTATAGCAATAAAGTTGCTTATCACTTAAAACAAAACAAAACAAAATAAAACAACCAAAAAACCTTCTGGGAAATATTTACGAAGTGCCAGGTACTGTGCTGTCTCAGAGAACGTGAAGATGAGAACACGAAGATGATCAACAACTGGGGCTGGAGCGATAGCACAGGGGGTAGGGCGTTTGCCTTGCACGCAGACAACATGGTCACACAGGTTCGATTCCCAGCATCCCATATGGTCCCCCGAGCACCGCCAGGAGCAATTCCTGAGTGCATGAGCCATGAGTAACCCCTGAGCATCGCCGGGTGTGACCCAAAAAGCAAAAAAAAAAAAAAAAAAAAAAAAGATGATCAACAACAACAAAAGCCTTTTCTTTAAATGCTTAAAATTCAGAGAAAACTTGAATAACAACAAAAATATATATGTAGTTGACAAAAATAGTGGTCAGCTTTGGAGTCTCAATGAAAGATACATCATTTGGCTTTGCCTGGAAAAGCCAGGCAAGGTCTCCCGGCGTAAATGACAAATGGACCGGGAAAAAAATGCAAGCATGTCCACTAAGAGGACCAATAACCGCACAGTCTTCAACTCAACATTGTTGAGCTGGATGGAGATGGGGAGTCAGAAGAATACAGGCTTTGAACTGGACATGGCAACAGCAACAAGAACGAATAAGTGACTGGAAAGAGCCCATCTGAAGAAAATAGACTGAAGAAAAATGCACAGAATTTCAGAGTCCTTTTAGATTTAGCTTCTAAATAAACAGACAAACAAAAAACGAGAGCCTGAGCCTGTGGGGGAAAAAAAATCAAGTGCCCCAACCTACTTGCAATGAAAGTGCAGTGCCATGGGGAGAGGAAAAAGGGAAAAGAATCAATATTTGGGGGGGGGGGGGGGAAATGTTCAAAGGCTTTCTAAATCTGATGGAAACATTCACTGTTGATCTACTTAACTCGGGCTGTGATAAAAACAAGAGATCGACTTTACAGTGGGTGTCAAAATATCTTGAGAGCCGCAAGAGAAAAACAACTCAATCCTCACAAGAAAACAACGACTGAGTTAACAGCACATTTCATACCAGAATCAGCTCCCTCTCAGCAGGTGTCGCAGGGCAAGAGGATGACAGACTTTCAGTGCTGGACCCTGAGGTAAAAGTGTCCATGAAAAATTCTACAGCTGGCAAACCGTCCTTCAAAAATTAACGGGGGGCGGGGGGGGGGGGCGCAGAGCGATAGGGCAGCATGTAGGATGCTTGCCGTGCATGTGGCCGACCTGGGTTCGATCTCTGACACCCCTTACGATTCCCTGAGCGTGCCAGGAATGATCCCTCAGTGCAGAGGCAGAGGTGAGCCCTGAACACTGCCAGGGGTGGCCCCGAAACAAACAACAAAAACAACAACAACAACAACAAATGAAACTGAAGAAAAACCCTCCTAGATAAGCAAAATGAGAAAATTAGTTTCCAGCAGATCTACTTTATAGGAAATACTGAAAGATAACCTCACAGGTTGGAAGCAAGTGACATCGTGAAATTCCCCAAATGTAGAAGGAAGATGTAAGGTATAAAGATCATTTGAAATAAGATAGGTGAATTTAGTTTGTAGTTAAGAAAGAGTATGTGAAAAATAGAAGGAAAAAAAAAAAGGAATCCTCGGACCCAACCTAAGTAGTACATCATTTAAAAATCGAACAGAGAAAGAGGAACCAAGACAAAGCACTGGGTAAGTAAACACTTTCCAAGTAGAAGGCTTGGGTTTGATCCCAGGCATCACGTGACCGCTCCTGGGAATAGCCCCTGAGCACTGTGGGATGCGGTCAAAAAAAAAAAAAAACCCAAAACCCAAACAATAACAAAATGCAACAGTCACAAAAGACCTAAGACAGACTGTACACCACTGAGGGAAAAGTCGGGAGTGTTAAGAAAGCCAACAGACTATTCTAAGGGCGCTGTTGCTGGGAGCCCAGTGGGGGCGGCGGGCGGGGGGACTGGGGGACTGGACATCACCAGTCACGCTGACAGGAGCAGCCCTTGACTCTCCCCACAGTGCTCACCAGGCAGACTGTCACCCCCACGTGCAGGCTGTGGGCTCCTGGCAGGGGGTGAATTTGAATTCCACACCCTGAGTTAGCAACCACAACCCTTAAGTCCAACGGGAACTATACCCATGCTTGGTAGAGCAATGCGAACGTTCAACGGGCCCGGGTGCTCTGACGAAGGGGGAGCCTCTCCCCACCCACGTACCGTCAGGGATCCGTTCTGGGCGCTGGGCGAGTTGCTGCTCTGCTCCCCGTGGGCCGGGGCGCCCCCGTAGAGCGTCAGGTTATGCTCACTGGTCTGGCCGGCATAGTCCTGAGTGTGGGGCACGCCGTACTCCGGGGGGATGCCGTTCTGTGGTGGCGGCGGGAACGGGATGGTAGTGAAAGGCTGAACCATTGCGTCAGGAGTTGTTGTTGGCTCCTGGTTACCCTGGAACAAAGAGTGAGAGAGAGAATAAGGACAAGACAGAACTTTATTTGTTTGCTTATTTATTTGTTCATTTATTTGATCACACCGGTGATACACACGGGTTCCTCCTGGCTCATGCGTGACTCAGGAATTTCTCCTGGTGGTGCTCGGGGAAACATATGGGATGCTGGGAATCGAACCTGGGCTGGCCACATGCACGGCAAACGCCCTACCCGCTGTGCTATCGCTCGAGCCCCAAGACAGGACTTTGAACTTACTTGTCTTTAGCAAAATCCAAAGATGCGGGAAAAGCTCACTTTTTTTTTTTTTTGCTTTTTGGGTCACACCCGGCGATGCACAGGGGTTCCTCCTGGCTCTGCATGCAGGAATTACTCCTGGTGGTGCTCGGGGGACCATATGGGATGCTGGGAATCGAACCCGAGTTGGCCGCGTGCAAGGCAAACGCCCTACCCGCTGTACTATTGCTCCAGCAAAAAGCTCACTATTTTTAACTTTATTTATTTATTTAATTTTTTTTAATTGAATCACTGTGAGATACACTTACAAAGCCTTCATGTTTGAGTTTCAGTCATGCAATGATCGAATACCCATCCCTCCACCAGTGTACTTTTCCCATCACCAATGTTCCCAGTATCTCCCCCCCTCGTCCCCCCCACCCCTCCGCCGCCTCCATGGCAGACAATTTCCCCCTTACTCTCTCTTTACTCTTGGGCGTTATGGTTTGCAATACAGATACTGAGAGGCCATCACGTTTGGTCCTTTATCTACTTTCAACACACATCTCCCATCCCGAGTGATCCCTCCAACCATCATTGACTTAGTGATCCCTTCTCTCTCCCGGCTGCCTTCTCCCCCAGCTCATGGGGTAGGCTTCCAACCATGGAGCAATCTTCGTGGCCCTTATCTCTACTGTCCTTGGGTGTCAGTCTCATATGATGATATTTGATATTCCACAAATGAATGCAGTCATTCTGTGTCTGTCCCCCTCTGACTCATTTCACTTATTATGATACTCTCCGTGACCATCCACTCATAAGCAAATTTCATGACTTCATCTTTCCTAACAGCTGCATAGTATTCCACTGGCTCACACTACTTTAAAAGGAAGCTTCAGCCATCACTCCAATCGGTTATTTTGCATCAAACGGAACAGAACAAATCTATGAAGGCTGTGAAAGATGGAGAAGGAAAGAATCATGGACTGGAAAGCTTGATACTCTTGAGATAACACTAGAGGCCCCACCAGACAGACCATAAGCAAAACATCAGCTCTTCACATAGAAATCAACAGTTGTTATTAAATGATATGAAAGTGAAAAGAATCTAGGAATAGCCAAAAAGTTCAGAAAAAAAATAAAAAAAAGGAAAAATGAACATAGCCTGGCAAAAACACAATTTAGGTCAAAACACAAATCTTGGGGCATAACACAAGAACAATCTATAGTGAAAAAAACAAAAACTGGGCTTCATCAAAGTTTAAAACATATGCTCTTAAGGAAAGAGAGAACAAAAAGGAGTGCTCTGCCACAGAGGCAGGGTGGGATGGGGGATGGGGGAGGGTGGGAGGGATACTGGGATCCGTGGTGGTGGGAAATGGGCACTGGTGGAGGGATGGGTACTCGATCATTGTATAACTGAAACCCAAGCACAACAACTTGTAAGTCTACAACTGTACCTCATGGTGTTTCACTAATAAAAAAAAATTCAATAAAATAAAATGAAACACCATTACAAAAAAAAAAAACTCATATGCTCTTGGATCATCATTATTGACAAATTCTAAAAACAACAACAAAAAACCCCCCACCAAAACCTATGCTCTTGAAAAGGCACGGTTAGGTGAATAAAAAGACAAGCCAGAAACTGGGAGACTATTCACAGCACAGACATCTGAGAAAGACGCCGCATCCAGAGTTTACACAAGTCTATTTTAAGTCCTGATAAAAATAAGAAAGCACATTGTTAAGACGGGCTGATTATTTGAACAGATCCCACCCCAAGGTGATATACCAATGGGCAGGAACTACACAAATGAGAACTTAATCAGTCACCAGGGACATGAAATCAAAGTCAAATGAAGTACCATTTCACATCCCCTCAAACGGCTGGGAAGATCAAAAAGACCCAATACTAACTAAGATATGAAATAAGAATATTCATGCATTGCTGATCAAAGTGTGAAACAGCACAGTTTCATTTTACAACTTTCCTTTCCTTTTTTTTTTTTAAACATAGTTAAGTTCTGTGTTTATTCAAAACAAATAAGAGCATACGTGCACAAAAATAGTCAGTCATACAAGAAAGATGTTCAGGGACGTCTTATTCATGAGAACCCCACACCAAAAATGAATGTACTCAAATTCATAGGTGAATGGATAAATAGATTATAACCTAATCACAAAATGGGATGCTACTAAGAACACCAAAACTAAATGAATTGCTATAGAGAAAGGGGGTGGGGGAGAGAATAACCTGGAACTTGCAACACAGATAAATCTTAACATTGTCCTGGATGAAAAGAGGTCAAACACACACAAATACACATACTGTAGAACTCAGGCATCAATACAGAAATGGGAAAAAAAAAATCTAATAACACAGAAGTGAGAAAGTCTTTGTTTTCTTGGGGATGGTAGAAATTTAATAATAAAAAATATATAATTATAAAATTCACTACTTAGGAGGGCCATACCCATCAGTGCTTGGGGCTGACTCCTGGCAGTGCTTGGGGACCAGAAGCGGTGTTGGGGACTGAACTGGCATCAGCCACAGGCAAGGTAAGAGGCTTTGCCCTATCTTATGTCTCCAGTCCCGTAACACTTATTTTTTGAGTAGTAATAACCAGCTATCCAAAAAGAGTAACTGATTGTATATCTTAATATAAAACTTAATATATAAAATAAGATCTGAATACATAAAAATATATTTGCTGTTTCTGGAGTATTATTTAATCCACAAATATTAATCCTTCCTTCGCCAAAGCAGCATGCATGCCTAATGCCATTTCCAGTCAGGACAAATAGTACCTTGGAAACAAAAGAGAACTACGTTTCCCCAGGATGATTATTAAAAAGCTAGTAAGAAAGTTTGAAAACGGACAAACTATGAAATTAGGTGTATTCTTGCCCAGAGTAAAACGTTCCATAAATTATTTTTGCAACTGAGCAGTTAAGGGCACACAAAGTGAGTTACAGTCACGGAAAATCCGAAAGCACATTCAAGTTTGTATGGAAACAACAAATACAAAGACGGCACTTCAATTCAGAGGAGGGCTTGTGTATCATATGGCTTTTGGAAAGGTTGGTTATCCATCACAAAGAAAATTCTGGGTTCATACTTCCACCAAAAAACTTCCAGAGAAAAGCAAATTTAAACTCTAATATAATAATGACTACCACAATGACAGAAACGGAGGGCCGAGATTGGAATGGGAATTCTAGAGTATGTCAGCAGACCTGGGCAGAGAGCAGGGGCCGCAGGTTACTTATATCATGCATGGGGCTGACCCAGGTTCTATTCCCCTGCATCTTGATCTGAGAGGTATTCTCTCTCTCTCTCTTTCTCTCTCTCTCTCTTTCCTTCCTTTCTTTTCTCTCTCTCATCTCTTTCTCCTTACATTCCTCTAAAAAAAATTAAAGAATGAAAACCTGAGAACCAGAAAAAAAAAGAGATCTCATCTGACTGCATACATTATTATTATTATTATTATTTTTATTATTATTATTATTATTATGTCACACCCAGTGATGCTCAGGGGTTCCTCCTGACTCTGCACTCAGGAATCACTCCTGGTGGTGCTTGGGGAACCCGATGGGATGCCGCGGATTGAAACTGGGTCAGCCGTGTGCAAGGCAAACGCCCTCCCCGCTGTACTATGGCTCGAGCCCCCTGACTGCATACATTAGGAAGAAAAGAAACGATGGAAGATGGAGGGGAGGGAAAGCAAAGGAGAAAAAAGAGCTTAGAAGACAAGAGATAAACCAACTGGGGAAAAAAAACATTCTTTGGGGGTTTGGGGATGGGGAGATGTGCTCCCAAGTGCTTCTCAAGAGGCTGACGGGCCCCTCCAGCATTTATCAGCCAACCAGGCCAGTGCTTCAATGCATGGGCCCAAGGATGTGGTGCCAGTGTGGTGCTCGCAAGTACCCAGGTCACTCAGGCGGGGCTTGGGACCATGTGATGTCGGGGTTGAGCCAGGGCCAGCTGCAGGGAAGGAATGTGTCTTTTTTAATTTTTTTTTTTTTTGCTCTTTTGGGTCATACCCGGTGATGCTCAGGGGTTACTCCTGGCTCTGCACTCAGGAATGATTCCTGTTGGTGCTTGGGGTACCATATGGGATGCTGGAGATTGAACTCAGGTTGGCTGTATGCAAGGCAAACACCCTCTCCACTGTGCCATCACCCCGTCCCCAATGAATGTGTCTTAACCCCCTGGACCAACTCTCTAGGCCCCGGAGAAATTCTTTCCAACAGGTTAAGAGACACTGGATTGAAAGAAAGAGGCAAAAAATGTAACTGAAATTCACAGAAGATGAGCTATAAAAGGCCTACATGATGACAACATCCAATCTCTGCTGGCTACACCTTAGCAGTAAAGTCATTCTGAGCCTATCAAATCAACCAAAAAAAGTTTTACTGAGGCAAGACAAAGTGAAGTAGAAAACACTGACTTACAGTTTACAGCTCATCGGTAGTGACACATCTAGAGAGAACATTCCCAACTCCTTCAACTTCAAATTCCACAGCCTCAAAAACTGAGCTGTTTCTAGTACCCAAGAAAATTTTTCTCTTCCTCAAAATTTTAATTTTATTTTTGCTTTTTGGGTCCCACCCGGCAATGCACCGGGGTTCCTCCTGGCTCTGCACTCAGGAATTACTCCTGGCAGTGCTCGGGGCACCATATGGGATGCTGGGGATCGAACCTGGGTCGGCCGTGTGCAAGGCAAACTCCCTCCCTGCTGTGCCCCAGCCCATGCCAAAACTTTTAGGGAGAAAAAGTCT